TAAGATCCTTCCCAATCTGCTGATAACTTGCCAGAAGTCTCTGCTCGACTGGCTTCATTCTTCCTAAGCACCAAGTCTCCGACTGCAAGGTCAATACTTTTGACTCGCTTATTATAGTGCTTCCTGAGGATCTCTTTGTACTTGGCTTCTCGGACTTTTACGGCGTCTTGCCGTTCCTCGAGCAGGTCAAGGTTAGTTAGGATGTCTTCATTGTTAGTGTCTTCGACAAAGTTAATGGTACGGGGACTGGCGAGGCCAATCACCACAGGAAGTACAGCTTCCATTCAGTAGACCAGACTGTCAGGAGTTTCGTCTGTCGAGGGATGAGCTGTGGTACGGTAAGCCCATAGGACATCCGATAATTCGTCGACCCATGCCCCCTTGGTGTTTCGCAGCCTTGTCTTAATTCCACGCAAAATGGTTCCATTGATGGATTCAACTTGGCCATTAGCCTGTGGATGAGCGACCGCAGAGAATCGTTGCTCGATTTGCATCTCAGCACACCACTTCTTAAAAGGATCACTCTCAAATTCAGTCACGTTGTCTGACACAATGACCTTCAGCACTCCAAAGCGGCAAACTAAGGTTTGCCAGAAAAATTCAATACTTTGCGCCTAGATATCAAGGCCAACAGTTTTACTTATAACCACTTGTAAAATAATCCACTGCTACGATAACCCATCGTAGTCCTCCTGCCCCTTTTGGAAAAGGGCTAATGATGTCAGTTCCCCATTGGTAGAAGGGCCAAGGGCTTTGGATAGTTACCATCTCATGTTGTTGCTGTCGGTTGATATGAGAGAATCGCTGATATCTATCGCAGTTTCGCACAAACTAATAAGCATCCTTAAAGACTGTAGGCCAAAAGTAACCTGCACGAAGAACCTTTTTAGCTAGAATGTATGCTCCCATGTGAGCGTCACACGATCCTTCATGAATTTCTTCGAGGACGTGAGCCACCTGATTCGGACCAATGTAATACAACATGGGTAATAGGTATCCGTGCTTGTAGAGGATTCTGTCTTTCAGGGTGTACTTAACTGCCTTTAAGTTTATTGCTTGAGCCACGGACTTATTGCCAGGTAGGGTTCCTTTCTCGAGGAATTGGATAAATGGGGTCATCCAAGTATCCCCCTCTTCAACAATTGCGAGTGACACCTGGGACTGAATACTAGGTTCACGGAGAATCTCGACCCAAACCTTATGACTGAGATGTGCGAAATTGGATGAGGTAAGGTTGCTTAAGGCATCAGCTCTTTTGTTGCTGGTTCTGAGAATATGGGATATGGAACAATTATCGAACTTATCCCTGATTTCATGGACTTTCTTGAGGTATGGTCGCAAATATTCCTCTCGAACAGTATAGTCACCATTGATTTGCTTAAAAACCACTTGAGAATCACTGAAGACTTCCAAGTTTTAGACTCCCAATCTCAAAGCCATATTCAACCCTGTGATCATTGCCTCGTATTCGGCTATATTGTTGGTGACTGGGAAACCAAACTACAAGGCGTAAGAATGCTCCGTCTCATATTCTTTCACTTCCTCAATTTCCTGCGGTGCGGTTGGTTTGGCCAGGATGATGCCGGCTCCTCCCCCTTCCTCACAAGATGAGCCGTCGACGTAAAGAGTCCAGGCTCGAGGATCTAGGGGAGTATGCTTTGGAACTTGTTTCTTTGAAGGTTGCTCGGGTATAGTACTTAATGCACGAGGCATTTCGACAAGAAAGTCCACGAATGTTTAGCCTTTTATAGCTGTCCGAGGCTTATACTCAATATAATGTTCTCCTAACTCGACTGCCCATTTCATCATTCTACCAGAGGCATCCGGCTTGAAGAGGACCTGTTGAATCGATTGTTCTGTTAGGACTTGGATCGGGTGAGCTTGGAAATATGGGTGTAGCCGTCGTGCAGCTAACACGAGGCTAAGTATCAGCTTTTCCATAGGGGTATACCGAGACACTGCCCCTTGTAAGACTTTGCTTATGAAATATACCGGGATCTCTTTTCCATCTTTCTTTTGAATTACGACTGCGGATATGGCAGTTTCTCGGGCGGCCAAGTAAATGTTCAAAACTTCCCCTGGCTCGGGCTTGGCTAGCATAGGAAGTTGCTTGAGGTGTTCCTTCAGGTCTTGAAAAGCTTTATGACATTGTTCATTCCGCTCGAACTTTCTACCCTTCCTTATTGTCTTAAAGAAGGGGAGGCTTCTCTCGATTGCTCGAGAAAGGAACCCATTAAGCGCTGCGAGGAAGCCGGTAAGTTTATGGACTTCTTTGACCATCTTAGCAGCTTGCATTGAGAGTATTGCCTCGACTTTGGTGGGATCTACGCTTATACCGTCTTTGGAGACCTGGAAGCTGAGGAACTTACCAGAACCTACACAGAAGGCACACCTCTTTGGATTGAGCTTCATGTTGATCTTACGAAGAATTGTGATGATTTCTCGCATGTCCTCTGCTACCTTGTTGTCGAGATTACTGTTGATGACCACATCATCCACATAAATCTCGATATTATGTCTGATTTGCTCGTGGAAAGCTCTGCTAACCAACCGCTGATAAGTGGCTCTGGTATTCTTTAGTCCAAACGGCATTTTATCATAGCAGTAAACTCCAATTTCGGTTGCATAAGCCATTTTTTCAGCATCTTCTTGGGCCATTTTTTCAGCATCTTCTGATGATATCCCTTATAGGCGTCGAGGAAGCTGAGAGTTCTAAACCTGGTGATTTCCTCAACCATTTGATCAATGACCGGCAAATTGTAGCAGTCCTTGGGGCAATGCTTGTTGAGGTCGGTATAATCTTGGCGCATGCGCCAGGAGTTATCCAGTTTCCGGATGAGGATTGGGTTGGCCAGCCATGTTGGCCAGAGGACTTCTCGAAGGATGTTGGCACGAACAAGCTTGAGTGTTTCTTCATTTATGACGTCATTGCAGTCTCGAGCAAAGATTCTCTTTTTCTGTTGTACCGGCTTGACGTTGGGATCTACGTTTAGCTTGTGCTCGATGATCTACCGTAGAACTCCAGTCATATCAGATGGTGTCCAGGCAAAGATATCTCGAAACTCGCGTAGCAAGGCGATTACCTTGGCCCACAACGTTCCGCCTATGGATATTCCAAGTTGGACTATTTTTCCAGGTTCTTTTTCGTCCAAGATCAACTCCTCCGTTTTACTGCTGAGTTGCGATTGATGAGGGCGGTTGAGATCCATGGGTTGTACTTCCCTTATGTCCTCGACCGATGGCATCCCTTGCTGGACTGAGTAACATCCCGATGTGGCGGTGGTGACTCCAGATTTCACTACTTCTTTTCCTGTTTTCACTGCGGTGAGGAGGCATTCTCGAGAATTGCGTTGGCACCCTTGTACTATCCCTATCCCATACTCCGTTGTGAATTTTATTACCAAGTGGTAAGGGGACCAAATAGCGCAAGCTTGGCACATCCGTGGCCGTCCTAAAATCATGTTAAATGGCGAGGCTACATCAATTATGGTGAAATCCATGGTTAAAGTTACCATTTGAGGATGCGACCTTACCGTGATTGGAAGCCTTACGATTCCGCTGGGGATAACCGTGTTCCCAGAGAAGCCCATTAGTGGTAATGTTGCCGGATGCCAATCAGGATTTTGTATGTTCATCTTCTTGAAACAGTCGCTATAGATGATGTCGACTGCGCTGCCGTTATCAACGTATACTCGGCTCATGCGAACATTTCCTAGAATGCCTTCAATAACCATGGCATCACTGTGTGGACAGATTCCTGGGACTACGTCACTATCCGTAAAGACTATTGCCTCGGTTCCCTTGAACCGTTTATAACTAGGCCCTTGTGGATGCGTTTTAGTTACCTCTCGATTTGATGTTCTTCAGAGCTATTGTAGAAAGAACCTCGAGTGATGCACCATAGATTGCCCCCCCACATGGTGAGTAATCTGCTTAGCAGGATCAGGTGGAGGGACTTGTTAGAGTGGCTGAGGGCCGCCATCGAGGGGCTGCCGAGCAGATTGCTGCGCATTGTTCCTTGGTGTCCAGTTATTCCCTCAGTTATCCACTTGAGGGCCGCGCGAGTTCTTCTTAGGAAAGTTACAGGGTCCCGTGAACTTTCCTCCCTTTTGTCGAGGAGGATTCTATACATATTGTTGGAATTTTCCAGATTTTACCCTGGTTTCGATTTCACGATTGAGTTCCCTACAATCTTCAGTGTCGTGGCCATGGTCTTTGTGATATTCGCAGTATTGATCCATGGACCTATTTGGGTTGTGAGCCAGGGGCTTTGGAATAGGGAATTCATCCTCGTGGATTTGGAGTATTTCTCGTCGGGGCTTCAGTAGCGGAGTCAACTGCCTATCAAGAAGGACTCCTTCAGTAGGCAAAGCAGGCTTAAACTCCATAGTAGATTTGAGTCTATCCCTTCTACCTCGATCTCCTGCGATTGAGAAGGAGTCCTGAGATCGCTTGAGCATCAGTTCTCGCTGAATGTAACTTTCAACTGTGGCCCACATTTCTTGTGTATTTCGAGGGGGCTTGGTTGACAATTTTGCCATCAAGATAGCAGACTTTTCGAATAGGTTGAGGCCTTGAATGAACCCATTCTGAACGTCTCTATCGTTGAGATAATCTACTTGGAGAGTTTCTTGTATGAAACGACGATGAAAATCAGACAAACTTTCGTTTTGTCCTTGCTTGATCGAAGAAAGGTCGATTGACATCTTAGTGATCTGCTTGCTGGGGAAGAACCGTATAGCCAATTTGACCGATAAATCCTCGAAGCTGACAATACTTCCTTCTGGCAATTGTCCAAACTAGCGTTGCGTTTGTCCGGTGAGATAAGATAGAAAGGCCTTGGCCATGAAATTGAGTGATGCATTTCTGATCCTCATGACTTGGACATATCCGTGGAAAAATTACTGCAGGTCGGAGTCGCCGAGTATTTGACAAAGACTTAGGGGAAGTCGAAGTCACGAGGTTTTGAACAGTCACAGATTCTTGGAATGAAAGGACTTTTATCGACGATCATTCCTATCATTCTTCACGTTAACTCGCGAATGGAGGTGTTTTGGTTTCCATGGTTCTCCTGTCATCGAGTGTTCTTTTTGCTGCAAATCATCATAATGAGATCGACCGTACCAAGGATGTCTTGTGTCTCGATATGTGTAGTGGTGATCGCGATAGGACATTTCCAGGAAAGCCCTGGGTCCTAAGCGGGAGTGTACATTGCCTCTCAGTGGGGGATCCCAATCCTTTTTGGACAACAACTCGACACTAGGCGAACCTTGGCGGTGTTGGTCACGAGATTGCTTCTTGCATCGATGCTCTTTTGCAAATTGCTCAAGTGCTGTATAGAATGCCGGGTATGCTCTTCCGAATGAGTCCCAGAAGGTTGCACCAGGGGTAGCAGAGAACTCTATCTGGGAAGCCTCATGGCCGGAGGTTTCTCTGCGACCTTCTGCCTCTCCTTTACCCGGAACTTTGTGTTTGTCTTTTTTCTTTTTGAGCAAAGTCAACGTCCTGCACGCTTCTTCCTCGTCAATCAGGTCATGTAGCTCCTGATCCGTAGGATCGAGCAGACCTAGCAAGCAACATCATTTGTACTCCTCCGATATATACTTTTTCTTCCTCTAATTGAGGTTGTTATCATCCCTCACCTTTTTGAGTTCCGCTTCGATTTCGGCCAACCGTTCCTCATCATGTGGATTGGGGCCCTTGCGATAATTTTTTGGATATTCCTCCCTTTCGTCCTCGGGATCAGATGGTCTTGTGAGAGTTTTTTCTTTCCTCGACCGACGGTCATTCCTTTTTTGCTTCTGCCTCTCTTGGAATTTCACTAGGGTTTCGTTGTCATCAGGGCTTGGCCGCCTGCCTGTTGATGCTGTACTAAATTGAGGTCTATCAATTACGACCATCCTGTTTAGAAGAGAACCCTAACTGCCAGTGGCGATCAAAGGGTGAGAAAAGTTTCAAGAGGTTGAGAAAGCTTTGTGACACAAACCCTAATTTTCAGGTTCCACTGGGCGTGCCACTTGATGAAGCCTAAAATTCTAACTCTGGTTGAATAGTGGAACTCCAATTAGGGTTTCCTACAAAAGAGAGCCTCAGGGGTCTCCCATGGGTAGACACTCCGATTCTTAAGTTAGAAATATGGTTATGGAGTATTGTGTATATGATTATTGGAGCTAGAGGTAGCGTACCTCAATTATGGAGTAATCATCCCTATTTATAGACCTAGAAGATATCCGAATCTAACTAGGTTTAGCATCCTTGCACCGCCTCCACAGAGTCGATTTGACTATGGACTCGGTAAATGGACCTGTCCAATATACGTGGTGGATATGGACTCATCCCCTGAGTCTACCTTCCAGAGATATACTCTATTTCTTCCTAACTGAACTAAACACTGCAAACTACTCTACTTCTAAGTGTTTCTGGTCTTCGATGCCTTCATCTTCAGCTGTTGCTACCTTTTATAGAGGTTAGGGGAGAGATCTTGCTTAGCCATGTTGGTCTCCTCTTTACCATATGGGTTTTATGCAAAAGAGAGGAGGCCCATACTTCTCCCAACTTTCTCCTTACCTCTAATCATCATTTGGAGAGATTTAGTTGAATAATTCAGTTTTAAGGCACATCAATCGTCTCGCAATGTTAGCAGTATCAATTCACCAATGGCTCTCCTTTCTTAGCTTCAAGGATTTCCTCCAAATTGGCTCTCTTCCCGCCAGATTCTTCTTCTTCTTCAGCCCTTGAATTTCAAACCTGCAACTTCTTCCAATTTGGCCGCAACTTCATCATTCTGCCACATTTTGACCACCTTTTTGCTCATATTGCATTTCAGCCCGTAGATTACCATAAGTTACCAAATTAGCTTATAAACATATATAATTAAAGTTAAAAGTGGTAAAATTAATGACTAAAAACATAGAATGAAATACACTCATCAATATAGGATAAATCAAAGGATTTAGCTCTCATTGTTATTTGCTTCTTAAGCCTCAATGACTCGATCATTGATCTCAGTTCAAGTTATCTCTTTTCATTTTCTTTTAACCGTTGTCAACATTAAGGTGTATCTATCTTCATTGAAAATAGCATCTATTAAAACCAATAGACTAGATTATCATGTGCATATCTAGTCAAAATGCACGAAACACCTCTTTCTCGCAACTTCTTTGTATTAGGTTATGGGACCTTGAATATTGACCGACAACCTCTAATTCTTAGTGATTGAGATTCATTTTTCTTTAGTCCAAAGAGAATATATAGGGCTTATAGAATCTCTTGTATTTAGAGTTCTATCAATATATCACAAGCTGTTGAACAACTTTTCCCTTAAGCATTAGCTAAATGCCATACTTAGACAAAATACAATTTTGCTTAATGTCTTAAACATTAACACACTTTTCTACAGGTATACAAGAAGGTGTACAAGAAGTAATACTTTATTTTATACACGCTCAAAATTTTGACCACATTTCACATAGGTTCATATATGTTAGAATACATGTATATAAACTATAAACTATACATGTAAATTTTGACCGCATTAATTGATCTTTTGATTTCAATTTTCATAAAACACACTAAATAGTAAATACAGTGAATTCAAGTAAAATCATACAATTATGCAAGTCACATACATCATACAGTAAAACCTCTCTAAATTAATAGCTTTGGGCCCCCAAAAATTTATCAATTTATCGAGTTATTAATTTATCGATAAATTAATACTCAATCCTAATAGCAAATTATTTTTGACACTGCAAAATTTGTTCAATAGATGAGGGACCAACATATCTTCCAATGAAACTGTTTCTGAAGAAGGAATTCATAAACTTGAAAAAATGATCAATGATCTTGGTTATCAAGACAAAATAGATGTTGATCACTTGTTGCTTTACTAAGGAGAAAATGATGAATTTATAGAGATAAATTTTTTTGATGATATTATAGCTAATGTCATTTAAAATGTAACTCAAGATGAAGTTGAAGATGATTTGGTCCCTTTGGAACTAATATCCAGAAAGGAGCTCTAAAGGCAACAACGACTCTTCATAGTTTGTTGTTGTCGTATGACAAAATGACACCGGAACTTTTTAATGTAATGAAAAAGTAAAAAAAATGATATATCCATAGAAATAAATTTTAAGAAAAAACAAAGACTGATAGTTCATATTTTCCTAGAAATTATTAGTTTTTGTTACGTAATTATTAATTTATGAAAAGGGAATTGGATGACAGTCTATTGGTTAGATTGTTGTGTTTCCTAGAGATAGATCAGGGTTCGATTCCCACCAGGGGTGGTAAGTGGGGTCTACTAGAGGGGATTTTTTTAAAAAAATATTAATTTATGAAAATGTGGGGACCTATATTTACATAGAGGATTCTTGAAAATTTATTATCTTATAAATTAATCAAGTTTTTTTATTTTTGGTACTGGTACCGAGTTGGGACCGAAAAATTATTATTTAATAGAAGTTATTAATTTTAGAGGATTAATTTAGAGAGATTTTAATGTATTCAACTTTTAACTAGATGTGCATATTAATTTGAGATAAAAGTTTCCTTTAACTCTTAACATATTGTATGATAAGATCTATGGGAATCACTCATGTTTCAATTTAATGATTGAACCTTCTAGAATTTTCAATATATATAGTGAGACAGAGTATGCGTGATTATATCACACTTTCTCTCAATTCCTTTTTAAACAAAACATTAATTTTGACCATGTCTTCAATCTCAAACTTAATAGATAACAAATTTTCCTTTTTGGTTTCTAAGACTTAGTCATACATACCAAAAAATTAACTTGTCATTTACGTACAAACATATAAGGAGTAAGGACCCATTTGTCATTTGAATGTTTCTTCAATATGCATTTGTTTGATTCATGTACATTAAATCAACACTACTTGCTTTTATGTCAAAAGATAATTTCACAAATTAGAGTTGCCATATACAACATATCAAATATCATTATCCTCATATAATAATGACAACTTAGCATATTCATAATGTATGTTGATGTCATAATATATCATATAGACCACATACCATGTGACTTTTCACAAACAAGACTCAAGTTTAACTGGTATCTTTTCATTAACAACCTTTGAGTTTGTGCTTCTTGAATGACTAGATAAAACCTTCATTTATATCTTTTTCATTCACACCCTTTGGTTTCACTTTAGACCTTTTGGATGACTTGACATGATTTTGACTCGTGTCTTTTCAAGTAAAAATACCAGACATCACTTTATGTTGAGACCTCTATACTTGTCACGAGTAGACATAAATTTTAGTTTGTGTCATTTTGCCATAGTTTGTAGACACAATTGTTCATTGTTGTCTTTTTATTTGGACTCACTAGACATAACCCTTTAGTGTATCTCTTCATCCAAACAAATTAAAAAAATCACAATAATTCATGAACAACACATTTTCGGTTTAATGATTACTAACAACAATTTGTATCATTTCATGAAAATTATTCATGAATGCAACATATTCAATTTAATCATGAATAATGCATTACGTGTACAGAAAAACACTTAACTCTTATATTGTTTTATCATTTTCAAAGTGCAAAGATCACATTATACTATGTATCACATGAATTTACCATTGAATCGCAAATTCATTTCAACAATTAATTATTTATTGTGTAACAAAAACAAACCCATCAAACAAACAGTTCATTGGGATCAAAGTTTTTAATTTTATTGACCCAAAATTAAACAATTAATATGTGATGCACTCATAAAAATTCTACACACAAGAATTTATTATTTTATTTTGTCTTGTTTTCTTAAGTTTCTGTTGTCGACTTTTCTGTCGACTTTATCTAGGTGACGACTAAGTCGACGAGTTCAAATAGCTAGACACTTTAACAGATGTTGACTTTTCTGTCAACTTAATTTGGCCGACGAACAAGTCGATAAAGCCAAACAGTCAGACATATCAACTGATGTCAACTTTTATGTCAACTTTACTCTAGTCGACCAACAAGTCGACAAAGCCAAACAAAACACATAATAAAATCCTACACATGTCGAATTTTTTGCTGACGTTCTTTTATTTCCAACAAGGTTGACGCCACTTAACATAAAATTTATAACATGCAATCAAAAACTTCATTGCTATATCACATAGATGCCAATTTTTGTATTTCCTTTTCAAAGCATGATAACACAAGGCCAAATTCTCTATCAAACCTTTTATGAAAAATATTTGCTTAATTAATGCTAACATTAATTAAGCATTTTGTGTTGATGGAAACCAGTCATATAGGCAATCAACAGATTATGCATAGTAAATTTTTTTTGCTCGTAAAAGTTCATAAATTTTATGACCATGTTACATTCGAGTATAGATCACGTCAATATATTCATGTGTTTATCAAATAAATACATACGTTGAACTTGAAATGTCACAATTCACAAGTAAAACATAATTTTTTACTTTAATGACGAGATCCATTGTATTTTATCATTGCCCTCTTTCATTTATATCCAATGATCTGCAACCTTTCCTCCATTTTTGTGTGCAACAAAAATATGTTTGTTTTATTCTTCAAGTACAAGCCATTGTTTAACCGAAGTTTACCCTAAAGATTGTTGGAATTATATTTCAAGAATAGTGGACAACAATGACAACACTAGATTAAACAGGAGGACTTTATAGTTAGGATAAAAGAAATTTTTTTCTCTAAGTCACAAGTAAACTTTCTTTCCTTTAGGCTAAATTTGCCTACAATACGGTGCAATTGTCTAACCGAATTTTCTATGAAGAAAAATGGAGATCATATTATTTTACTATGCACTTTAATGAACCAACAACCTGATACAAGGATAAGAAATGTCATTGAAAATATTCTAAGTATTTGGTGATTTTATTGTACACTAAAAGC